TTTTTTGTTGTTGTTGTGACAGTTTTTTGTTGATCTTTACTTGAATTGCGTATTCGGCGTACGTCCATTATCTCGTATTAATGACCCTAATCGTGGATGTCCACTAAGTCGTATGTTTACGGATGTGAGAACTTTTCTTTTCAAAAATTACAAATAATTTGAGAAGACGTTATGCAAATCTTATGCAAAGGTAATACACGTAAATCAATTCATTTTAAGAATTGTTTGTTAAATGTAACCAGATAAGTTTATATTAATGTTCTTTGTTGGATTTACAATTTCTGATTTGTTTTATTATTGCTGCTATACCTAACTGTTCATTAAAAATATCTTTTAATAATTAATTTAAGTCTAGACTTCACAAACCTCCTTAAAATACTTTGTTTTCTCATTTTCTGATTTTCTAAACGGTTAGTTATGTAAATATGTCCAAACATTTATGAAAGGATTCATATTGCGGTATGCTAACGTCGTTTGAAAGCGAACTTCATATCCGCCTTGAGTCCTTGACAGGCAAGTATTCAGGCAGTATTTAAAACATTTATTAGTTTGTTGTATTTCGACTAAAATCTATATATACTACGTTTCTGTCGCATTAATATTCTAGAATTACAAATATCTTGAATAAATGTGTCTTAAGACCAATCGCTCCAACTTCCGAGCCCTGTATTCGTTTCTCGTTAATTTCTTCGTTACTCGTACAGACCTGAACGACTAAGACCTGTCTCAGTTGCGAATGATCTATTGAGAGAACCACTCCAGTTACCTCAAGCGGTTGTAGTTATTGAGAAAGCACCATCTCCGGGCCGCGATGCGCAGCACAATTCCACCTCGCCGCCGCCCTCGGCCCGGGTCCTGCCATAACGCGGCGCGCGCGCCGACTGCCCGCCCGCCCGTCAGGCGCGTGTAAATCACGAGCGCGGAATACATTTAACGCGGCCAGCGCTGATGAAGGAAATAAGCTCCGGCGGCAGACGCGCGGGATATGAATGGAAACGGCGTCCGGCGCGTGTGACTCCCGGCGGATACTCGTCCCGGCGAAATAATGAATTTGTAATGAAAATTAAAACGCGCTTAGGCGGGCGCCTCGGCCGTCTTCGCCCCGCTGGAGCGGACGCGGCGGCGGCGGCGGCGGCGGCGGCGCGTGACTCACAGCGTTCTGCCTTATCGGCAGCGGCGCCGCGGGCCTAATGGACAAAAGACATTACGCGGCCGGGTCGGGCCTCCCGATACACGCCGCGGGAAATGAGGCATGGAGCGGCGGCGCGGGGCGCCGCGCCCCCCTCGGAGGGCACACTCCCCCTCCCCGGGCGTCCCCGAGACGCCCCCGCCGCGCATAAAATATGCGACGCGTTCTCCCGCGCGCGCGCGCTCTCGAATTCGAATAAGAACCGGCGGCGCGTGTAACCGGAGTCGCAGGTCTGGGTCGCTGAGTCGGGACTCGAGTTGCGCAGCTGCCAGGCGCCAGGTGCAGTGGACGGGGTTGGGGGGGTGGGCGCTTGTCGTGGTTGAACATCGCTTTGAATTTAACAGGTTTATTGTGAAGAGGTGTCGTATTTCTGTTGTGTCGCGGTAATAAGACGACGAGGCAACGGTTGTGAAATTTAAGGGAGAATAGAAACATAAGATTGTGAAACAATTGTGCTGGTAGATCACAAGATATCCCTCTCACACCACCGCGCGCGCGCCCACACACACACACACACACACACACACACACACACACCACACATATAATATATATATATATATATATATAATATATATATATATAATATATATATATATATATATATATTGTGCTGCCATTTATTTGACCTTTACCAGTCGTTCAGTTGTTTCGCGAACTCGTGACGTCCTAAAAATGTCTGTTTTTGTTATCTTCTAAACTTCTCACTGCCAACTTTTTGACATTCCACAACTGAAACTTACTCTGCCATTTTCGTGGAGTACCGATGTCTTCCTCCATCTCCACTGAGGACCTTTCCCCCGCGCGTTATCCGCGCGGGAATCGCGCGTGCCGTGCGCGTCGAGGCTCTTTTTGATGAATGACGCGTCTTCGTCCTCGGCGGCGCGTGCGCTTTGAGCCGCGTCTATCCCGCCTTCGGGTGATCCCCTTCAAGAACCATTACGAAGCAATTCCTATCGGGGCTATTATGGTCTCCCATGGCAAATTTTTATGTAACATTAATAAAAAAAGAGAGGGGGGAGGGAGTGGGGGGGGGGAGAGAAGAAAGGAAGAATGCAGTGTCATCGTCCGTTTTTTTTACGCAGCCTGATGGAGGGTGATGGAGAACGGGGAGTACGGACTTTATATCGCGTCTTTTGTGGGCGGATGCGCGGGGTTGCACGTGCACCCTCCTGCGCGGTGCATATGGTTTATGCTGCGAGATGACATAGTTATTTTCTTTGTTGCGCTCCGCCCCCGCGCCTCTTCGTCCGCCGCACTCTATTCGCCGCTCTCGTCTTATGGTCCGCTCCCACCCTGGCGGCTCTCGTCGGCTTCATTGTATCTGGGCGTCTGTGTCCTATGCTTTGTTACCGCACTTCCTCTATCTATGTGTAATTTTTTCGTTATAATTCTCTTTTGCGTCTTCATGTTTCTTCTATCCGTCCTCCATTCGTTTTCTTCATTCTTCCTCCAACTTGCTTTTTATATTCTTCACGTCCTCCAACATGTTCCCCCACATTCTTTATTCATGTGTTATTTTTCGGTTTTAAATCTCTTTTGCGTCTTCATTATTTTTTCTCTCCGTGCTCCGTTCTTTTTCATTGTCCCTGCACACTTTTTTTGTGGCTCCATTTCTTCTCGATTTCATCATTCGATCTTTCCTATTTCTTCGACTCTTACACTTTGCTCCCCCATTTCCTACGTCTATGTGTTATTTTTTCCTTAAAATTATCCATTGCGTATTCATATTTCTCTTATTAGTGTTCTGTTATTTCTCTTCGTTATCCCTGCACTCAAGTTCTTCGATTTCATCATTCTATCTTCCATATTTGCTTTATTTCTTATACTTTGTTTCCTCGCATCTATGTATTATTTTTTTCGTTTCAATTATCTCCGTAATTTACGTCTTCAAATTTCTTTTATGTTCCGTTTCTTTCTTCTTTATCTTCGCGCCCTTTCCACGGTACCATTTCTTCGCATCTCACCTCACCTTCAATCGCGCCCTCCACCCTCGCTCCCAGCCCCCATCGCCTTCCGCGGACGTAAAGTTTATGCTCTCTTTTCCTGGCGGCGCGACAACCCCCAATACGTGCCATAAAGGCCTGAATGGAAGCGCGGAATCTTGGCCGGGGCCGTGTTTGCGGGCGCGCCGACCCGGACGCAGATTAGCCGGCGCGCACCGCGGGAGGGGCCGTTTGACGCTCCGCGCCAGGTACACGCCGCCGCCGCTGCGCTGCGCTGGGGTGGCGCATCCGCGGGAAGGATGTTTGGGAATTATATTGCCGGGCGAAGTCGGCGCGGCCGCGTTTCAGTGTCTCGCCCGTTTCCGCTCACCGTGGAGCGTCAACCGCCTGCAACGCCGTGAGCTCGCGCTGACGATTTGCGTGCGTCTGAACGAGTCGTAAAACACGTCGTGCGGGGGTTGTTCTGTTCACAAGTGGAGATGTTGACGGGAACTGCCGAAACGTTGCGATTCGCGTAATGAAAGTTAATTTCTCAGGATGACGGAAATGTTTACATTGCGATTGGGATTCTTCCTGGTCCCGTTTCGAAACACCGATAGGGGTTTTGTTGCCTGTTCCCATTCTAGTCTTAACTTAACATTCAAAGGTGTATGACTTCTAAAGATGTTATGCAGTAATAAGAGGCATATTATTAATAGCTTGCAGCAGCAAAAATGTTGCGGAAACAAACACACAAAATTATTTTCTAAACGTAACAAGCACACTTCTGAAGGGCGACAGAAAATCATCCTGAATAACAGAACCTAACTTAATCTACACAGGTACACAGTATAACAGTCCTTTGTATTGCAATAATATGGTCCTTCACAAGCAATCTGTGGACAAAATTTAATTTTCCGCCCGATCGTGTCTATTTATTTATAATTAAGATTTATCAGTAAACAAAGTTAGAATATAATAAGAACAACTGGCGCACAATGAAGATAATACAAACAGTTTCGTTTGGGTCGAGCACATTTACTGGTAGTGCTGCCGTCATTTATTATTTCATGTCATAACTTTTGACCAATTTTGGTTATGGAAATTTTTCATTTAGCAACAAAATATCGAATATCGAGAACAAAACATTGATGTAAAAACGTATCGGCTCAAATGCATCGATGCTTAAATCATCAACAAAACAATGCTTTCAAACCATCGCTACCGCATCCCTGTAAGAAACCTTAGACATCAGTGACGTGGGCGGAGAGCGCCCAGTTTTCATTCGGCCTGTGCGCGCATCGCCAATTAGTCGCCCAGTGAGTGTTGCTGCCCGCGAAGCGCCCTGCGAGGGGGCGTGGCCGGCGGAGGCGCGGCGGCAGCGCGCAGCCACGCGGCGCGGGCGGCGGAAACCGGATCCGCGCGGCAGATTCGGGGCCTCATTTGCGCGGGCGGCGGCGCGGGGCGGCGCGGCGCGGGGCGGGGGCGCGGCGTACACAGTCGGCGGGATCGAGCGATCAGTCGGCTGAAAACCCAATCGTTTCCGGTGTCCGCGCGTGTTAGGCCGCGTGTGAAGGTGATGCGCTCTGACAAGTGATCGGTGGGCGCGGCGGCGGCGGCGGAGGGGAAGGGGAGGGGTGGGGGAGGGTGGGGGCGCCGGACCCTCCGCGCTTCACAATGGGCGATTTGTGCTCGGTGCGCGGGCGCGGGCGCCAAAGACGCGGGGGCGGCTGGGGAGGCTATTGTCCCTCCGGTGGGTGGGGGGGAGGGCCGGCGCTCCGATCTCGCGCTCTGCTAATCGCGGTCCTTCGCGCAAACACACACACATTCACAGAACTTGCGGTATCATTCTTATTACTCGTTCCGGAGCGTTTACGAACTTGCACATGGCCCTTGTGATTGATCAAGAGGGGAAAATGTTTATATATTATTGATTCGTTCTTGATTGTCATTTTCTTTGTACGAAGCTCGATAAACACGGCATAACTTGCGTGTACCTCTGGAGTTGATTGGTTCTAGTGATCTGCCTCTTTCTCTCCCGTCTAACTCATGTGTCGTCTCTCGATAATTAGAACCCTTATAACGCCCTTTGTGCATAAATAATTGTATTATTATTCACGTTAATGGTTTAAATAAATAGGCATTTAAAGCTTCGATTTTAATTCATGTGCCTAGGTGTCATTGATTCACGATAATGTCATGATAAATATTTCGTCGAAGACACGTTTATGTTTAATTTGTAAGAAAAACTTCTTCTACATATAATATTAAATCCTTTTATGTTGCTGAAATTGAAACGAAGAAATATTATATTTCTCTTCGATCGCAGTAACAGATCTTATATTGCGTCTTTTGCCATCTAACCGGCCTATTCCCGAATCCTTTATGAAAACGTCTGCAGTCCTACTTCTTAGTGAAGTTACACGAACAGCTTTACCGCCGCGTTGTTAGCGTCTTCTAAAGGTTAGTAGACCAAACAAGTCGTCGGCACACATCTGCAGGACATTGTACTCGCGGAGTCTTATCCTGGAGAAATCTCACGTGAATACCTAAGAACCTCCTCCCCGCTTTGCGTCTTTGCGGGACGTTGCAACTCCGCACCTACCTCGTTACGCAAGTTTTCTGCGTCCCTGTTTCGTCCTCTCGTGGCGTTTTCTCCACGTCCTCGCAATCCCCCGCGTCCTCGCCGCACGGTCCGTGCCGTCCTCATCGTTTCCTCGCCGCAACCCCATCGCACCTGTGTCAGGGCCGCTGCGCTCGCCCATTTACTGCAGTATAAAGAGCTGTGGCGTTGCTCCAGTTTTAGAATGGACGGACTTAACACGTAATTGCACGGGTCTGCCATAACAGCACATGCGTCTGTAACCGACATGAAACATTGGTGTTTACGATGCATAAAATAACCTCTACGTAAATTATGCTCTTGTTTGCGCCACCCTCGCTCGGTCGCTGCGCTCTCGTGGCCACGCGCCGCCTAATTTTCTGGGTCACAAAAATATCCGGGAATAGTTCGCAAGTTGTTGGTGGATTTAACTACATGTTTCTCTAGGTTTCTAGATCCCGTATATTGTTTGTGGGTGTATTTAACTTATTTCTGAGTGAATGTGTGTGTGTGTGAGGCAGAGAGAATGAGATTACGTTGTCAGTTTTCAAAACATCCGTTGCAAAAATTGTACTGTAACGACCCTCATCATTGGAGGAAATTTTATATTAAAATGTATGTGCAACAGGTGTTACAGCCTAATGCTTGTGTGACTAACAGTTCTGGAAATTAATACTGCGAGGATGCAACACAGTTTCTGGAGCTGTTAGCGTGCGTGGTTGTGAGTAGAGTTCTAATACTGTAGTAGTCGTTTGCTTCCAAAGTAAATATTTCTCAACTTTTGACGTATTAATGTTTCAACTATTTATTTTGTGTCAAATATACGCATATATAAAAAACGTTTGGCAAATTATTCTAAAATAGAATGAGAAGTAGAGTCTCATGGAAATGTTGAACGTTTCTATTTCTATGTTGAGAAATGAATACTTGTGGATTTTACAGTTGCTGCCTTGGGATCTTGCAGGTGTCGGCAAGGCGCGAGTGGCGGCGACGGCGCGACGGCTGACGTCAAAGCGAGACGCTGATGTCATTGGTCTTTTTTTATCTGTTCCTTCAGGTTCATCAACGCGAGACGGCGGATCGTTCAACCTCTCATTGACCAATCAAATCGCGCAGGCGGTGTGGGCGGTAAGTTTGGACTTCAACTTCCTTTCGTTCAGCTCCTAACCCTCTCTCTTCTTTTCTCTTCTTTTCCCAAGGTTCATCAATGCTCGGCGGCGAATCGTGCAGCCTATGATAGACCAATCGAACCGGGCGGGTAAGTTCGCCCCAAGCATGTGCGACGCCGTGCTGCGTGGAGGGGCGCGTTTGCGCGCTCGAGGCCCGAGGTCTGACTGTTGCGCCCGCCTCTCGCTTCTCTCGATTCGCACCCGCCGCCTTCGCGCTGGGCGGGTCCATTCTGCGATGCTCGTTTTTAGCGCCTGGCAGTCTCGTTTCAATGAGAATTACTTCTTTTTTTGTATTATGTAACTTTTTCAACAACTATTTTCCTCAAACGAGATTTTGCAGCGAAATATCTTAGTCATTTTAGCCCCATTAGTTACTATTTTGTTTTTATTTTTCGTCAAAAAATTAAACAGTAAAAAACTGTAGGAGAAGTATAATCTGTCCATAAGTTGCTTTCTTTTTTTTAATGCATATAAACATTCGTTCTCTCCTTTGATTGTATTAGTTTTCTGACAGATATTGCTAGTGCTTTAATAAATCGACAATTTTTTTTACAAATTGCTACTTCATTTTTTACTAAGTATTTTCAACAAATCTGCATTTTTGTTTAAAAAAAACGACCCCAACTATAGTCGAAACGTCAAAGAAATAAATTATTTAAAAAAATAGTGTTTCTTTTAATAAAGTAAAGTATTACAATTGCCTTCTTTTAATCATCCACAAATCAGTGTAAGGTTTCAGTACTTGAAAAATTTTGAATTGGCTTTGTCAGAATAATCACCTCCGCGTGGGGAATCGAGAGAATAAAGAGGTTGGACAACAGGAAGATTCAGAAACTTCTGAACTCTCACGAACATGAGCTTCGTGAATGCGACCCTCCACCATCACGATGTCAGTAGACTTCTTTGTTTCCTAAATTTCTTTCGTTTCTGTTTCCAGTCAAAACGCATGGTTATTAAAAAATAATATTCATTACTTTTTTTTATTGAACAGAAAATTGGTTGCATCTTCAGTACCCATCCGACGACTCGTACTTACACTACATGTAACGACAACAAGTCTAGGCACATATTTGATATTTAAATTAATTTATTGCGTTGATATTCTCTGTTATAATGTTCTTTTGATTAGAAATGAAGAGTGTAGGTAATGTTGTGCTAACGTGCTTCTTGCCATTTTGCAAATACACTAATAATTGTTACTTTCCTGGTCAAGCAAATACGCATGGGATGGTCGCGAGAATGCATTGATCTCAAAAACATCGTGACAGTATCTTACACTGCGCTCTACCAGCCCACATTAATTTCAGTAATGCATTACAACATTTTAAAAATTTTCTGCACATTACATATATCAAAAAATAAGTAAATACACTTCAATGGCAAAAAGCACTGGCTCCTTTTCTTTTTCAGTTTTTTTTGTTCGTTTAAGATTAATAATATTCATTTTGAGGCAAGGGTTAGATTATCATCATCTTAAGCAATGGGTACATGACTTTACTGTACAAAACAACGCACACTTCCAAGATTTATATACAACATACGAGTCAATCGTGATGGCGTGACTACTGTTGAAGAACTTTCCAAGAAGACAGAAGACCTCTCAGAATGAACCTGGCGAAAACGGAATCCAGAAGACACAAGACAGCGAAGACATCAAGACCGTTTTTTCGACGAATGAACCCACGTTCCAATTGCGAGAGTTGACGTTATTTCTGTAAGTGCTAGTTAGGAGCTGTTAGCTTAGTTATTGTGCGAGAGGCGGCGCGGCGCGGCGTGGCGGCAGGTGGGCTGGGCCGGCGCGCGCGCCGGAGTGGAGAACCGTGTCCGAGAGGCTGTGTCACGGCAGGTCTCGATCGCGAGACCCGCGCTATCAGCGCCGCGCGCGGCGACACGGGAACCTCATTCGAGGCGATACGGCGGACGCGCCGGACTCGCTCTGGCGCGGAGGCCTACCGCCCCGCCCCCGTCCCCGCCCCGGCCGCTGTCTCCAGGGCTTAGTGGTCAACTCGGTACCAGCATCCACTTTCAGGGTTTCGCTCTCAAGGCGTCGTTGTCCTTATTCCGTATCGACGTCTGTCAAGTAGATTTATTGTTAGTTGTGTCGTTTTAATTGAATTGAGTAGTAATGTTTTGAGTTTGAATTTGTTTCTTTTTGTGAATGTGAATTTAGTTTACATTAGTTTACAACATGTGCCAGTATTAATTTTGTAAGTTTTATTGTATTACCATTTTTTTCTTTCTAATAAATTTGCATTTCTTATTTTTGTAGTTTTTTTGTCAGTAGATATTTGAGAAATCGTAGTTATACCCAATTTTTATTGGATTTTTATTTTTTCGTTTTCAGAATGTAAGATTTTATTTTTATTTAATGTTGCTGCTGATGAGATACCTGGCGTATTAGTAGATTTCGTGATTGTAAGACAAATTTGTTCAACATGAGGGTCATCGAAAAACAGGTCTCGTCTTTCGCTCCTCCTTTACGATACTGTAAAACACTCGGGCGCCGTCCCGACTTTATTCGGCCCCGGATTTTAAAAGGGCCTGCCTGCTCTTCGTATCCATCAGTCGGAATGGACCCATCGCCTTGAAATAACCCGACATACTTGGCTCCTGGGAGCCGGGGCGGCGTATAAGATTTTTACGTTCAGGTTGCCCTATGGTTTTCCATCCGCACGCCTCCCCTCCGCCATCAATCAGGCGCGTCAATTTGTAATGGCGGCGGGGCGGGGGGGGGGCGGTGTCCACTCGGCGGCCCCTCGCCCCGAAATGACCGCCTGGTGGTTTAGATACTCCCTATCAACGATGCAGGCGGCGCCCACGGGGCCCAGGCGGCCCCGGCGCGCGTGACTCATGCACGCATAAACGCCCGCCGATTGCGTTTGCGCCGGCCTTCGGGGCAGGTGGTCGATATTTTAAAGATGCGAGGCTTTCTTTCTGAGGGCCTCATGGTCACGAGTCACTCTGTCGTTGCGGAAACTTTATATTACTGTGGCGAAATGGTTACTGTACCGACAGTAAAAACTAGGCTGACACTGACGTATTGTATTGCTTTGTCGGAGATGTGTTAAGGGTATTCCAAATATGTGAATAAAAGCGTTGTTGCCAAAATTTTTACATTTTTTACGTACCACTACATACACGGAATAAATGTGCGATTTTTCGACTGAAAAATTCGTATTGTGAGGCCCTGTCACCAAATAATAGGATAAATCGTATTCGTGAATATAATATATATAGTAAATTACTTCCTCTAATACGTTGTGAAGTCAGAATCTACGTTTTGTGGGTCTCTAATCGAATTAGTATACGGTAAAATGCCTGTCTGTGAACAACGCTAGCGACTAAACCGTGGTCAGAATTTTCACCAAGTTGATCGATCTGGCCCATTACCGTCTCAAGAATTTGAAACGGATATTTTGATTTTGAGGGGTACTTTACAAATGAACCCTCAACATTCTCAAAATTTTCCTATAAATGGCTTCAAATTCTTCGTTTATATATTTTCCTTTGCTGTAAAAAACGCTTATGAATATCGCATATGCCTCATTGTGGGTAAATTCTCTAAATTTTCAAAAAGTTTAAAAGTTCAAAATTGTTCGGTGCCTTCCTATGACTACAATATTGAAAACAGAAATTTGTTCTTCAAAATTGGAAAAATTGGTTTTGAAATAAGGTCTGTACATTTTTTCAGAAATATTAGTAACTTTTGCGAAATTTTGCATGGAATATATACAATTTTAGAAACATGTTTTTTCCAAACTTTTCCGTGTTTTTTTTTTTTTTCGATAAAATGGGGAAAAAAATCTGGTTTGAATCTTCTATAATATTCTGCAAGATAGTTCAGAATAAAGGGCTTCGGAAACTCACTAGTTTGAAAAAATCTATGTCATTCTGCAGCACTATTACTTTATTAGTTTTCGATGACTAAGCCATCATAATCAAAATTACTGCCGGTAATAGTAAACTGGATTTATCGTCCTCTTCTCTTTATTATATTACGGTCAATTTAGTTCATTATATTTAGAAAAGTTTGCAATTATCTACTTATGTTATTTATTTATTTTTAAATAGTTTTATATCCATTTTAAACAGGATATCTGGTAATGATGGCTAATCCATCGAAAGGCGCAAATGTATTGAACGAAAACCTTAACAAGGACAATGTCTTTTATTCAAAAAATGATATATTCATCTCGTTTGATAAGTACAAATTTCCTTTGTTTTGTGCGTCATCCTTACCCGCTGGATTTAAATGTCAACATTTTAAAATAGCTTTTAATAATTATGTATATTTAATAATCTAGACGACTTGTGTATTCTGTTAGCGAAAACCTTGCTAATAAGTATAGTAATAATGTTAGTGTCAGAAACAGTTATACACATTCAGAAAATGCTCTCGTATTTTGTAAAGGAATATTATAAATTACTGTGAAATTGTTAGGTTACAATTAATATAGGCGAAATACATTTTGAAGATTTTACTTTCCCTAATTCTTTAAATCCAGATCTGTACATTTGGTGATCACCGTCGATATCTGAAAGCGAGGAAGACAGAGGCGGTCGTCAATGGAGTGATGAGCGAATGGCCCCATCTTCTCGGTGAATGGCGGAAGCATCATAAAGACGATTGGCGTTGAACGAGGCATGGGCACGAAATGAAACTTCATTGCCGTCGATCCATCGGTTTAAAAGTTATGACCCATATTCTTACGGGGCTCAAACTGTCTCTCTTAAACTGTTCTTTTCCCATCCGGTAATTTGGCGGGTTGATGGTCGCGTGACTGACAGCAATCTCTGAGGAGTAGAATACCTTTCTTGTTGGCAAATGATTTTTCTGAGAATCTTGTCCATTAAAGTTGGATACCAGAAAAGTGGATAGAAAATAATACGACTCTTAGTTTCTTCGTGTATTATGGTCAGATTATTCTCAACGTTATATAATTATCGGTTATAAATTCTAACCTATATCAGTATTTAATATATCACACCAGATTAAATAATAAGAAATGTTATTTTTGAAACTTCTATGCTTTCTGATACAGATGTAGATTAAAAAAAAGGTATTTTAAAAATTGAGATAACTAAAAATAAGAAACCTAAACCGTTGAGAACAATACTCAAAATAAATTCATCAATAAACAACCAATATAAACCAGTTCTCATTGAGAGAAAAATGTGATTATTTTTGTTTTTGATACTACGAATAATTTTTGAGTTAGGAACTTGTGCTTTGTTTGAAATATAAGAAATAACCCATTTCAACTTTCTGGTGTAACTTTCAAAGATTTATATTAATCTTATATTTTAAAAATATGTGATTGTTTATGTATGAAGTGTAAGAGAAACGTTTATTCGAATTAACCAGTAATTCAAATTAAAGAATATGATAGAATAAGTTAAGAAAATTAATAATATAATTCATATTTTCTTTCAAAAAATATTTTGTTTCTACTGACCTCCTTTATTATTGTGAAGAAGTGTAAAAAATTGTAGAAGCAGCAAAAGTATCCCTAGTTTATTCGTGAGGTGAACAAAACGTATTCACAGCTGTATAAATAGTATTATAAATGTTATGTTGTTTCTATCTTGGTATATAATTCTGAATTTACGAAAGCATGAGAATTCGTATTGCGCTTTGCATTTCGATTACCTTACACCAAACTTATTAGTGCTCTACCTGTAAACATTCTCCAAATTAAAAAAAAAATCTAAGCGGGGCCCAAAAATGTTCTCGCCTCGTCTTCCGCTCTCAACCTAAAGTGAGATTTTTTCTTTCTTTCTTCACGGTTGGGGCATTTCGCTGCCGTCGTCGGCGAGGTCGCCAAAGCGGGTCTCAGGATCCTCCTCGTCCCCGGGG